GCATTAGCACGGCAATATGATCCTACTGAGATGACACACTTACCACCGGAGGTTACAAGTGGTTCCTCCGTCACTGAGAATAAACTATAAAACCCTACACCAAAGGCACCAATCTTGTCTTCGTCAGGGTTACCCTCAGCTGCAGCATTCGAGGTCAGCACTGATTTAACCAACTATATGTGATGCCGCGCACCTATCTTCTTCAGCCTATTCCAGTCCTCGTCCCGGAATATTACACCGTCGTTCTTGAACGTCCATTGGTGAACCTAGTATAGGGAAAGGAATCAGAACCCATGAATAAGTGGCATGGTGAGAGCACGCACCTTTGCTGTCCTCAAGTCTGGCAGCTTCCACTCTCCGCTGGAACCTTCACCCCCGTTCTTCTTGTGATTCAGATACGCCTCGGTCTCAAAGTGAATCTCTACCGTCTTCGAGGAAGCATCCGATGAATTCTGGAGTAACTCCCGGAACACTGTGTGAAGACCACCAAGCTTAGGGTGGTGCGAAAGTATGCAATGGTAACGGCTGCGCACCGGTGAATTCCCCAGAATATCTAGCGAGCACTTTGTCAATCAGTGCTCTTTGGTTGACCTCTACCGACTCGTCATGGCCATTGTCCCACTATGTACGGCGAAATGAACCGGGATGTGAGCACACGACGCGAACAGCACCGAAATACTCACCAGAACATCTCTTGCTGCCATCGTTCGCTCTGGATTGTGGTTGAAGAGTTGCTATTGACTCTTGGGTGACGCAAGTTACGGTGGTCCACAACTCGTTGTGACGGGCCCGCCGAGTGACAGTTCTTGATTGTGATGACAAGTCGTCGATCCGAATCTTTCAGAATCCAGTGTGTATCTTCCCAGTAAGTAAGATCTCGCGTGGAGGGAGTGGTGTTACGCACGACCTTTCCCGGTGTCAGTGGAAGGCAGTACATAGCAGGCGTTTATAATAATTATAATCAGAACAGCAGCGCTCGAAATAACATCGCATGAATTACAGTAGGTCTACGTCCATCCAAACAACCTGAAGAGCTGCAGCAGCAAGCAGTCCGATATAAGCACGGTGAGTCTAATTTAAACCATGAAACAAAGTCAGGAAGAGAAGAAGACAACCAGTTTCATGAAGGCCCATATGCAGCCTCCAGAAATGATTGGAAGAGTGAGGTTGTCGTCCAGAGAACCCAAATCTGTAAACCCCATGAGACACCGTTGACTGGAGAACACTAGGATATCTACTCACCTAATGCTTCTGCCACACCAGAAACAAGTCCACCCACAACACTCAGCACAGCCAATCCTGCCCATCCGCTCAAAACGTCTGTCTGTGCCTCTACAAGGCCATTCTCCCACGTCCAAAGTGGGTTCGCGACACCCATCTGCACGGTCCATCCCCAAAACCCTGCTACTACAGTAGCCCCTGTCACGACTGCGGCAAGGAACCCTGCCAGAGACTTGCGTGGTGCCAGTGGTAGTCCAAGGATGGGAAGGTTGCGGGGAAGGGGAGGTGTGAGATAACCCCACAGGCGGCCGATAGTTGAGGCAGCTGTATCAGCGAACGCGAGACTATGGCAGCGACGTCAATAGATACGCCACATTGAAACAATCAGCAGGAGATGCGCACATTAGAATGGATACAACAGCAACATCGACGGGGTATACAGCAAGCACAAATAGTACACCGAAAATATACCAGATGACTCCATTTGTGCTTTTCTGAAGGGGAAAGGTATCAATGACTGAGGAGACGCAGTGTACATGGACGGAAACAACAGACCTTCTCACTTTCGCGCATAAATGCACCGAGGACACGCTCGAAAAGCCGCTCGAATGCGGGAGACTGAAGACGGAGGACATCTGCTGGAATAACCACGGCTAAGACGGAGCCTAGGGCGGTGATGACAGGCCGAGGGGGGACATGATGTGTATAAAGATAGAGTGTGACGAGTCCTAGACGACGCAAGATGAGTCTATGTGGGTGGTGGCCCGGTACGGTGTGGAGTGGGCTCACCAATGGATGAATGCAATGCTTTACGAGGGATCTCCCAGTCGATTGGAGTAGCCGCGGGTCTCTTGGCCGCTACGCCATTGGGTTTGCGCGCGACGTCCGACGAGATGGAGGTCGTGTGCCCGTTCTGGAGGAAAGACGCACCCTTTGCAGGGTCGGCGTGGCCATTGCTCATGGACCTCTTCGTGGATGTCCTGGCCGCTGTCTGCGCGCCAGAGTGTTGTCTGGAGGTATTCTTCGAGGGGGATTTAGGACTGGAGACGAAGGGGATTTTGGGAGATGTTGGATGGAGAGAAAGAGTATATGACGGGCGAGATGAGTCGTGGTTGCCTGTGAGGCCTAGCGTGAAAGCGTCATTAGCGGGGAGAGTCATGAACGGGGGCTAAGGCGTAGAGTAATAGGATGTTGTTCGTAATGATGAGAGATGTACTTTTTAAGGGTATTTGGAGGTTATGGTGGGTTCATGAAGAGGTGAAAGCAAACGAGCGCGACCGCTGTTGTCATTGCCGAGCCCAACTCCGGATCAGCACACGCGGCCAACTCCGTCAACCTCTTATCTGCACCGCTCTCGCCGAGCACAGTCATTGTTCATTACAGCATGGTCATTTTAGAGTGGTAGGCATACACAGCGATAGTACATTTAGTAGACATATCCCAGCAACTTGCCACCAACGTTCTTGCGACGGGCCTCCTCGTGGTCCAAGATGCCGGACGAAGTCGTCTGGCAGAAGACACCGAATCAGTCAACCTCTCACAAGTCGCAACTTGAAATACACGTACGAGGATGATGATACCGAAACCACGCGCAGGGAGCAACAAGTTGACCCAGTTCTCAATCTGGGTGACCTGCACGTTGTAGCGGGGTGAGATGACACCAGTCTTGTTCAGGCGGCCGTTGAGCTGAACGACGATCTTTCCTGACCGATGGTCATCGACGATCTCGAACTCCCCAATGTATCCTATATTGAGAGCAGTCAGTTTCAGTTGCAATGGAGGATCAACAGGAAGCGAAATGTAATCTCTACAGTGAACCCAGATCCGTAAAGATAAAGAAGGAAAAGTGTTATTAGGTTACGAGAGATGAAGTTGATGTTCCGGAGACTTAAAACGGACGGCGAGTGGAGATGCTAGCACGCTGTACGTAGTTATACTCCGGGAGAAAGGAGCAAAACAAGACATATAATGAGTTTGAAGAATATAAGAGACGATGCTCACCATGACGCTGCATGACCGACAGGAACTTCACGATGACCTTTGAGGAAGGGCGGATAAGCACCTGACGCTTGCCCGCACGCTCGGCATTGACAATGTTGTTCTATACGCGGAACGCTTCAGCTTATGTCCCCAATACTCCTTCGGTTTGAACTTACAAGGCAGTCGTTCTAAAATGGATACAAATAAGACAGTGACATATGTGAAGAGCTGGGAAAGACGCACCAAGACAGATACGCGAACCATGTTGGAATGAGGACGTGAAGGGAGTCGAGAGACTAGGAATGCGAGAAAGATAACTTGCAGTAAGTACCTGATGCTCGTCCGAGTGTCGTGCTACGGAAAGCGCGAGTCAAGACGAGCTATTATCCGCCAAAGAAGGTCGGTAAGGGAGGATTCGTCAAGTGCCGTCTTCCGCAACGCAGCACATATGAAAGAGGCATTATTCACCTTTTGAGAGCGGGGAGTCTTGAAGAGGAGAGGTCGAGGGGTTCGAGCGACACGGCGAGCGCGCACTAACCCACATCCACGCGACTTCGGCAACTCCCGGATGTCATGTACAGCACCACCCAGCCACCTCTCACGTGCTCAGATCCCACTATCTGCAACCTCATCCTCGGCCCCAGGTCAAGTCGTCAAGCTCAAGCCCCTCCTCATCGTCGGCATTCCTCAAGTTCATCATGGTGCGAGTCGGTGTCGTCCCATTGACGAGCGTTAACTTACGTGGGTGTGATATAGGGTCGCGTTCGTACTAAAACCACCAAGAGGGCCTCCCGTGTTCTCATCGAAAAATAGTGAGTGTCTTGTCCGTTGAGAGGATTTGGTCAGCGAAGAAAAGAGGAATAGAATGGAGAGGATTGGGGTCATGGATGACGAGAATCGTGTATTGAAACCACATTCGCAGCTACCCCCGCCTCACCCTGGACTTCCACACCAACAAGCGTATCATTGATGAAGTCGTGCGTATCCTAAACCTTCAGTGTCCTATGCTGTCAAGGGCCTAATTCCAATGTCACGATTAGGCCGTCGTTCCCTCAAAACGCCTCCGCAACAAGGTTGCTGGGTTCACGACCCACTTGATGAAGCGTATTCAGAAGGGCCCTGTTCCCGGGATCTCGTTCAAGCTCCAGGAGGAGGAGCGTGAGCGCAAGGATAACTATGTCCCCGAGATCTCTGCCCTCGATATCACCGCCAACCCTCTGGAGGTCGACCCCGACACCAAGGTTCGTGCTCTTCCATCTTCGTTGCAAGATTTCAGATATTAACGTTGTCCTCTTTGCAGAACCTTCTCATTTCCCTCAACTTCGACTCCGTCCCAGTCACCATCGCTGCTCCTGTTGTTGCTCAGGTTGAGCGAGGACCCCGAAGGGAGCGACGGAACGTTCCTGGTGCTGGCCGGTAAATCGGTTTAGCTACACCCATGAGATACTAGTATGCTATGCCGCCATGCTGTGTACTGTTTTATTGCCTGCCATACTTCATGCAAACGCCTCAACATGAATTTCTGGACAATGCATTCAAAACATGTTGTCATTGTACAACAGTGGCTCTGCCAGAGGTTTGGACTTCAAACGGATCGGGATGCATTCATCGTGGCACACTTTTTCGCGGTGTAATTCTAAACAGTTGAACAATCTGAGTTCGCCCATCTGCGGCAAACCATCGCTGCTGTTCGAGCTTCTGTCGTTCGCAAAACACCTGAGTTACTGCAAGTCCAATATTCTTTACTGGTCGTGATCGTACGCCGTTGCATAACGGTGGAAAAAATCAAATGACAAAAAGGGCCCGACCGGGGATCGAACCCGGGATCCCTTGCAATCATGTGAACTCTGGGGTTCGAATCCCAGTGGAGTTCCCAAAGCAAGTATCTTACCACTAGACCATCAGGCCAACAAAAAAGCGTCTAAATTGTACCATCATGACCTGCTTCTGTGACTATGACGTCATCCCTCACTAGCCCTCCCGCAAGCAGGATGCCGCAGCTGCAAGTCGCCAACGGAATCACAGCAGTGCGGGTATATAACCACCAATGGCGTTTTGTCGCCATGTTCACCCTCAACCAGAACTATAGAACGATGTCCCCCATCACCAGCTCCGCAAATTCGCTCGCGTATCCCCCAGCCGCTCACATTCACACATCGAATGTTGTAGGCACTCAGCCCCAACCGATCTCGACGATGAGCACGTCAGCGGAGAAGCTGGATCACAACCTGGAGCGGAAAGGACCGCAGCAGGGTGCTGCGGAAAGAATACGGGGTGGATGCATTCCATGTCCAGTTAGTTCATTTCCACGACTTCTTCGCAGGATCACAGTAATGACGATATTGCTCACACCAGGATGGATGTTGCTTCTGCATTCCAATTCCTTGCTGTTGCTGAGAAGCACAGCCTCCTCGCCACGTTACATTACCATCCCATTACTGCTACGCTAACTCTTTGGACCCGAATGTTACCCCGGGCTACGGCACTATATGCCAATTGACTACTGTATCGGAATGTATGACATATTCTACTGTATAGTATTAGTTGTCCGGCCGGCATTATAACCAATACTCTGTGGAGAGAATACCGTTGATTATCCTTCCAAAGCAGCATGCGAATGAGCACTCAGGGAGCAGAGCAGTCACCTCGAGAGACTCTGAGCAACGTTCTGCCAGTGGATCCGGAGTGATTGTTGGTGGTTGCTCCGATGATATCATAGCCTTGGAAACCCTCTCGTAGTTCATGACAAGATATGAGGCGACCGTGGCACCCTACGATCCATACATTGAGACGATATAAAGCCAGAACCGTTCACGCACCATCTCCTATCCCTCGTCCTACCTACCAACGCACCAAGAATAATGTCGCCTATAACCAGCTCCGCCAGCCCACTCGCATACCCCCCAGCGGCTCATGTTAACTCATCCAATATCGTGGGCACTCAACCGCAGCCGACCACCACAATGAGTGTCACGCCGGAGCAGCTAGAGGCAAAGAAAAAGGAAGCGCCACAAGGCGCGGCAGAAAGACTTCGTGGCGGATGCATACCATGCCCAGTACGTTCAACCTGAAGTCGTATTATTCGGGTAGACTAACACATGGTAACAGAATGGCGGTTTCTGCTTCTGTATACCACTGCCTTGCTGTTGATGAGCTCATGTAGCAATGATCATACCCACAATGTCCATAATTGTGCCAGAGATCCTTTTGTACGACGCGTCCGTCCTATAATACCACACCCTACAGTACACACTATCAAATACTCATTGCAACAGTACTAGTATCCTTTGTAATCTTGGCAGCCACTACGGGAATAGTTCCTCTTGTTGAACCACAAGTCATCCAGATCGATAGGGTTTCACCATCAACGGCATTTGACTACCCTTCTCTTGCTCGCTCAGGACGAGGGGCCTTTGCACAATAGTCATGACCTTGCTAACGTCCTCTGGTTTCACTGCAAGTTCGAACTCGAACTCCCGGAGGAGGGTGAACAGAAGTGCCTTCATTCTAATCATAAGTGCCGTCAGCATAATGAGCCAAGATAGCCCTGAAAGCAACCTACTCCACTAAAGCAAATCTGTATCCGATGCACGCCCGCGGTCCTCCAAGGAAGCTCAGGAGGCGTCCCCACACACCGGGCATGTCGGCGATCACATCTGGAGGGTGCTCCCAGCGTTCAGGTTTGAACTCCAGTGCATCTTCACCCCAAATTTGTTTGTCCCGGTGGAGGGCTAAAATTGGAATCGAAACCAAATCACCGGCGGCCATTCTATGCTCGTGTTAGAGAGACCGAGGAGAATATGAAAACAGACACGAACTCGATGAAATCCTTCTCTACGCCGTTCTTGTCCTTGTACGGAACAGAAACGGGAATACGGTCGGCTTTCGCGGCGACACGAATCGTTTGCGAGACAGGAGGGTGGATACGGAGAGTCTCCTTGACTACCATATCGAGATAGGGCAGCGCACTCAGCTCCTCCATGTTCGGCGTATCCGATGCATTGAGCAGCTCCTCGCGGAGCTTCTGTTGCATCTTCGCATCCTGACTGAGCGAGAAAAGACACCAGGTAACAGCCGTTGCAGTGGTTTCATGACCAGCGACGATGAATCTGAAGACAGATCCTATCAGTTTGGAAACTGGGTGGAGAATGCAAATACGTACGTCGGCACTTGAGCGAGAATGTCTCCATCGCTCATTCTCATGCCCTCCGAAATATCCGTAGCCATGTTCGCCTTGATCAGTAGTGACAGAAGGTCTCTCCCTTGAATGTCGGTCTTCTCAACGCCTCCCGCCTTCTCAGAAAGTATGGCGGCCTTCTTTTCCTTAATCAGGTTCATGCCAATGCGGTGCATTGTTTCCATCGCCTCGGCCCGACGGCGAGAAGCATTGGTGCTCTGTAAGGTGGGTGGATCAGTAGAGAGCTTCTCGGAAGGTGTAGCAGACCCACAATAAGTCGGAGAGGAGGAATAAATATGCGAGCCATAGACACCAACGTGGCTTCGTTTTCCTGGAAGATTGCTTTGAAGGCTGCATTCAGCTCGTTGGGCTTGGCTGAATTTGGATTGAGGGCCTCAAAGTCGTAGCCAAAACCAGCGACACCGATAGCATCTAATGTCATGCGACTCAAGCCATCGAGAACATTGATCCTGGCAGCGTTGCCGTCAGAGGGGAGCGACATGCGCCAGAGGTCGCGGAGCTGCTCAAACACATTGTGTCAGGGGTTTCGAGAGTAAGTGATATATATGGATGGGGACATACCTGCTCAGCCTTTTCCATAATTACCCCAGTGAGCTCACGAATTTGAGCTGGCCCAAAGGCCGGATTCTGTGCATGGGTATTAAGAAAAGGAGAGAACAGAAAGTTGCGGTTTCAACGAACCATAACTCGTCGCTGGAGAGCAGATATATTTGTCAATCCTAGTACAATCAAAGCGAAACGAATTCTTCCGCACCTGCATTTTGTGCTGCTCGCCATCCACGACAAGAACCCCTATCAATGACGTTAAACCTTGCCCATAAAACACTATGCTTTTGCTCACCTGGACCGAGTATTGAAGAAAGCGTATATCTTGTGATAGCTGGCTTAACATAATCGGCGGAGTGTACGAGGACATGATGAAGTGCCTTCATGTCATGGGTATGTAGACGGTGCACCTGCAAAGGATTATGAGTTAAGAAGCAATCATAGAGGTGTGGTAAGAGCGCACCCCAAACAAGCCGTTAATAACGAAGCTTGGGCCATACTCTGCTTTCCATTGCTCCACTTTGAGAAGATTCTCAGTGCTGAACCTATTTCTGAGCTGACCGAACAGCCAGCTCGGATTTGGGGGACCAGGAAGCTGGCGGAGAGGGGAGAACCATGGTCGGATGAGGAAAGGGATAACCTTGATGACAAAAACCGTGAAGGCGGCGGCGACAATAAGAGTAAAGGTCATTCTAGTTTGCGGACGGTGTTAACAACCAAAGCTTGAGCCAGACGACGGTTATAAGCAACTGCGGGACACTCCTGTCTCCTAAGGCGGAAAGACGGAATGATCGAGGGCCCAACCTAGACCTCGTTGCGATCCGAGACGACCTACCCATAATGTCAATCCCGGTCTTTCATGGACTCGGTGTAACGTTTGAGTCGGTTGACGCCAAGAGTATGTAGGTCCCAATATGGTAACTGCTTAGGTTCGCTTTCAACCACCACCTCAACTCGCTGCCTCTACAACCGATGGCGTCCAGATGGAAACACCCAACAACACTCGCGATACTCTTGCAGCTGGTCTCCGCTCTGTCTTGTGCGCACGCAATGCCTCTGCCGTCGCTACCTGAAGCTTCACCACCGCCTGTCTTCGCTCTTTGGCTATGCATTCCGTTCGTCATCCTGGCAACTATCAAGCTCACGTACATGAACTTCCGCCGCGCACAATCTATACATTCTTGCGATACTAGCGTTGCACCGCCTGAAAGCAAATCCTACATCACCACTGTACTTCGCAGCCTCGGACTCAAGGTCTCAGCCATTCCTCGACGGGCATCCCTTTGGCGTAAGGACCTTACTGGATATCTTGTCGGATGTTTGGGCTCGCCTGAGTGGGAGACTCGAATTAGAAGACGCGTTGATACCGCTATCAGAAATAGCAAAGCCCTAGCATCGGTCACCTCTCCTCGCATCTCCCTGGTCGAATATTCCACGGTATCAGAAAATACGCGTACATCAAAAGGAACCGCAAACGTTTCCCGAGAAAACACAACGCTATCCTCGCATCGTCATAGCAGACAAAGTTCTAGACGTTCACGGTCCGCCTCCGTCTCATTCTTGGAAATGACCACCCCGAAGCTAGTACAGCCCTCACCCCCCTCTTTTCTGGACGCATTACCTCTAGTACAGAATAACAAGTACTCCGTCGGAGAAGATCCAAGATGGAGAAGGAGACGCTTGTCAATGTCCTACTTCTCACCAGTCGTTATGCCAGATACCCCTCCCATCCCTACTGTTACGCCTGATCCTCCCAAGCGCAGCCTTGAAAAGTCCGTAAAATCGAGCTCTAACGACTCTCATACCCGCTCGTATAGTAAAAGTACGCAAGCAAATTAGACAATAACTTTAGCTGCTAATCACCATTTCGTCTCTGTAGCGCCATCATTCCATGGAAACTCGACGTCCTCGAATGTGTCATCAGAGTCGGTGGGGTCTCTGCCATCTGGAGAGATCACGGTGGATCTGAGCTGCTCCGCTGCATTTAATTCGCCGAACCCAGAAGCGTCAGTTCTGAGCTATCCCCACTCCGTGTCAGAATCAGTGGACGACCTCTCCTACGCCGTCAGCCACGATGGAATCACCCGCCCTATTGATTGGTCTGTAGAGGAAATCATGACAATATCAAAACGCACTCCCCGACATCAACCTTCCAGAAATACGA